TGTCCCTTTTTATTGTGTGTTATTATTGATTTCGCGCTTCATTTTTCTAGCACGTTTTCAGCGCTTCACACACAGCGTGTAATTTCGTTGCGATTTTTCTTGGGTGCCGCCACTTGCTATCTCGTTCTGTTCCTCTAATGCCCTCTCTTTCGCCTCTTCAATATTCTGTGTGGCACTGTGTGTGTGTGTTTGTGAAATTTGGCGAAAATCACGTTTTTGGTGGGCGTTTTTGTTAGTTTTCGCTTTGTGCAGCACGAATCTGATGACGGGGCAGCCAAGGGTTAAAGGGGCAGCGTTAACCCAACAATGCCAGAGAAACTAAATTCATAGTTTTGTTCCACTTCCACTCTATAAATGTATGTATGTGTGTGCTTGTGCTTGTGCGCCTGTGTGTGTGGGTGGCCCATTGAAAACTTTGCACAAAATGTTCAATAGCCTCGAGGCTCGATCGTTTTTGTAGGGGAAAATCAACAAAAATGGACGAAAAGTCGAATAACGGGAATAAAAATCGGGGAAAAAAAAGCTTGGGAAAAGCCAGGAAAATTTATTTGACCACTTCCGTTGAGGGGAAATTTTCCATTTAATGTTGACAATTTTAAGACAACAATTTCATATATACTTTATACAAGCATTTTTCCTTTAAAATGAAAACAAATAACTGTTTGCCGCACTTCTGACTTTGAAAGTTTCTTTTAGTGCTACTGATACTGTTTTTAAAATTCGCAATGTATTAATATAATACCATTAATATCAGATTTCGAGTTTATGACGACTGCATAAAGTATTCCTTCAATACATTCTCAAATGCTGGCCACAACTGCATTTATTTATGTTTTTTTGCTCAGTTTGTCCCATTGGATTATGTCCCTTTCACGCAAACTATCGCCATCTCTCAGTTGTTTTCCCCATGGACAGTGCAAAAACAGTATTTATTATCACAAAGCGGAATAAACAGAAACCAAATTTAATAAAAGCAAAACTTTTTCTGCAGCTGCTTCTGCTGCTGTTGTTGATTGCAAATGAAATGAATATTATTTGATTGAATAACAAGTGCGTCGGGCAAAAAATAATTGCTAGCAATCTTTGTTATGCGTTGCTTTTAAATCCAAATTAAATTAAACAATCAAGCACACGCGCTCACACACACACACATATATATATATACAAACATTCGCATACATTCAGCAACGAACTGCTATTTTGAGTTACAAAATGCGCTGCACTTAAAAGTATGCAACATTTTTTGTGCGCTCTTATTGCACCACTCCATATTGCGTGTGCACAACTTTCGTCGAGTGTCATGGTAGTGGTGGTGGCAAGGGGAGGAGGGTGGGGGCAGGGAATTGGAGAAAAGTGGGACGAAAGTGGGTGGGGCTGCTGCTGTGGCTGGTCAACGGCAATAATAATGGCAACAATATACACACGAAGTGGAAAAGCGGAATGGGCACACACAAACTGCTGCCAAATGTATGCACAGGAAGCATTTGTAATGCCCCGCCAGCAGCGCGACCAAGTTCGCTCCCTTCTCGGCCATGCCCCCCTCATTTTCCCACCGCTTTCCCGACTTTCCCCCAGCTGTGCTTCCGCTGCTCTGTCGCCTGCTGGTCAAGGAATTCACTTGAGTTGGGCACCACGAACATGACATTACTCCGACTAGTCGGTTTCGGTTGCAAATTATAACATTTTCGCTTAAAACCATTATATAAAAATAGGTTTGTTAATCGTTTTAGCGTAAATCATTTGCAATAATTTGTTCACCATTAAAACCTTTGCTATCTTATAATTTAGATACATATGTATCTTTAAGCCGGACTTTTGTTTCTCACTACACATTTTCGTAGATCCTATTTTCTGACCTTTGGCCGTATTTTTTGTAGTACCCTTAAATGTTGCTATAAACATTTCCCACTGGGAAATTTCCCATGCCAATTATATAACCCAAACATTCGAGGGTATCAGACTTAGTAGGAACAAAACGTTGCGTGTGTGCGAGAGTGTGAGGGAGTCCGCAGGCCCGCTTGCCAGACTGTTTATGGTTTTTGGCTACAACTTAATTTAAATTGTTTAATTCTATTATTGTTGCTAATAAATCACAGGCACAGCTTGTGCTGCTCGTTGGCTGGCTTAGTATTTGCTAAGCTGTCCCGAAACTCACACAGATACACACACGCAAATGCACACGCAAATACACACACACGCACACACAGAGAGAGGCACATTTGTCTTGTGCCTGCTGGTGTAAGCGGCTTTCTGTTCCTGTCTCTTTTCCGGCAGGCGCAGCCATCTCTTTCACTCCGGCGACCCCAGGGTGCCATTCATTGTTCTGTTTTGCATTCGTGCCGTCCCTTTCCCGCTATAAATTACACTGATCTAGTAACTTTTGTGGCCAAAACTCGTAAATTTGCAGCTTGATTTTTGATTTCTTTTTTTTGTCATCGTTTTCTAAAATTTTGAATATGAAATATCATACAAAACTTTGGGGACTATTTATAAGGCCGTCTCACTCGCCGGAGTTGAAATTTCAATTCAAAAAGTAAAAAAAGATAAAACACAAATAAGCGAAGCCCGCACGCAAGAACCGCCTGTCAAATACAGGCCAAATCGCAGCGAACGGGGGCGGGGGGCGTGGCACACACTTGACCAGCCGGCGACCGCTTGACATGGCCATAAATAACAAAGCCAAAATGGCGACCAAAACGGAGAGCCGCAGCCAAAAAAAAAAAAAAAAACGAAAAAAAACTGAAATGAAGTGAATCCGAAAAAAGCAAAGCGGGCCAAACCAAAGGCAAAACGCAGAGATACGAATAGGGCCAAATGTGATATGTCAAATACACGCAACAGCAAGTGACGATGAGCTCGGTATAATGTCAATGGAGTTGCTTGGAAATAATCGTGGGTCAGCGATAAGGTCCTCGAAACGGGTTAGAACGTGGCTGGTTTAGCTGCTGAAAGCACTTGACAAGTCAAAATGTTCAAGTATTCAAAACATTAGAAATAGCAAGATATATAACTCATTAGTAGAAGAGCATTTCATAGACACTTGAATACCTAAACAAGATGTTCCAATTACAGGCCTTGTGGTTGAAGTCCAAAGACGGCTATAATTGACTATGTCTTGTTGGGAAAACAAAAGAAGAGCAAAGAATAACCTCTTAGGAAATCAAAATATTTGTCAAATAACAATACATTTCGGCCTGAGGCCATTTTTCCGCAAGACAACATTTTATGCCTTTAAGGTATTTGCTTGGCCAACAATGTGGCATTTATTAACCCAATACATATACATGTAAATAAATGTACGAGATATCGAAGATATTAAAAGTATGGAGAACGAAGAGAAAGAAATTTAAATCTGCTGAAGGAAATTAGTGCAAAGTGCCTTTATCTTTGCCAGTATGTGTAAATCTATCGCTTGGTGCACAAAAATGCGTTTCTGCTTTGACGGCTGCAAAAAGATGTAATTTCTGTTGCATACTTGCGGGCGGCTCCTGAAAATGGCAGCCACACACACGCACACACAGGCACGCACACACACACACGCACGTTTACAGGAATTTACAACAATGGCGGCAGTTATCGAGAAATGGCAGCAGCGACTGCATTTCCGCTTAATGTTGAGCGATAATAAAACACAAACAGCAACAAAAATCGCGCGACTGCCGGTCGGGGATAATGAAACTCGTCCTGTTTTTGTTGTAATTTGTATTTTTACATTGGTTGGTTGGTCTTTTTTTTTGTTTTTCGTGCAACCCATTCGCCATTCTCCATTCGCCATTCGCCATTCGCCATTGCAGCTCTCCATTCACAATTCGCCATACAATGGCCGACGCGCACACATGCATTGATTTATGTTTTTTAATTTAAAATTTCCGCATCACTTAACCGTTAAAAATAATAATAACAATAACAGCGGGCCGCGGCAACAACAATAAGCCATTGTCCACGAGGATGCGATTTAAATATTGTAACATTGCCAAACGCGAAGAAAGAAGCAGCGAAAGGCCAATGTGGAGCGAAACTTTTGCACATGTTTTAATTTCCGCATTACAAGCCAAAGTGCACTGGGCGAAACAAATAGCGCCCAGGAATGCATTTACCATAAAAATATTATAATAATAAATCTGCTGGTGGAAAATGGGTATTAATTTAGTTGTACGACATTTTAATGGCACTGACACGGATTACGGGAAAGTTTATCCCTTTTCACATAAACTGAGTTAGATTTAAGGATATATAATGAACGTTCGTTCACATGTATTCAAGTGCAATGCACCATGCTGCTGAAGTGCATTCCGAAAATTGAGAGCCAGTGGATAACCCAGTTTCCCCGCATTTTCTCCTCGTTGCAGACTGGGTGGCCACCCACAACAGATGCCGCAGAGTATGTCAACTGGCAGCAACACAATCGGCCACGGCGGCATCGATCGCGGCGGCGTTGGACTGCCGATGGGCGCTGGCACAATGCCCGGCGGCGTGGGCGGCGGACCGGGGGGCGTGGCCGGGGGAGGACCCCAGGTGGGCGTCGGTCCGCCCGGGAGCGGCAACGGTGGCAATTGCCAGATAAGCGGCTCACAGCCGCTGGTCATGCCCGGATTCCCGTTGCGTAATTCCCACTCAGCGCATGCACCGCACTATTCGCCATATTCGCCATCCAGGTAAGTTGACATCCATATGTGGTAGTACCATGGTATTGGTAGTGCTAGCCCTCCCCGTAAATACGGTGTATATCTGGACTTTTCGCCCCGGGGGTCACAGTGAACACTCTTCGAGTGAATGAGCGCTAAATTGAGTGAGAAGCGGTGCTGCCGTGGTTATGACTTTCCAGCCAACTGGTTTTATTCATGAGAAGGCGGCTCAAGGACTTCGCCTAGCTATCGAGGATGTGCTGCACATTTAAGGGCATTTTCCACATTTGCTTTGTAACTCTTTTGCTTCTTAAATTGTTGTAAAGTAGTTGAATATATAAATCGAAGTTACCGCTGACATTTCCGCCATTTTAGTTGAGTGGACTTGTCATTTTCTCCATCCAAATTGACAACACAAGAAATTCGTTTTAAGTTTTGGAATATCTAAATACAACAATGGGCATTTTCGGAACCCTTCACATGGTCCACAAGGTGTACAGTACCCAGTGGCGACGTGAGACATCGGATACTCCAGATTCCAAAGTTTGTGGTTGCTTTTCGAAATCGCATCGCCGACACGAATGCCAGTTCTTAGCATTCGATTCCGATTCTGAGGACTCGGAATCCAATTCCGGTCGCGGCGATTTCGATGACAGGACCAAGAAATTCGTGAAAAGAAATCTGAAGTCCTTGGTGTCCATAGGCCATTCGAAGGAACTGTGCCATCTTGTCAGATTTTGGTGGCCATTGAATGTCTGCAATGAAATGGGGCAGAGAATTCGTCAGATTGTCACTCGGCGGAAATCCAAGTACTCTGTCCCCCAGAATCCAGCACATTTCAAGGATAATTTGGATATGCTCAGATTTTCTGTTTGATGCAACAGATTTTGGTTTTAAAGCTGCTGTAAATCATGGTAATTTGGCATTAACCGTGAAAATATATCATTTTAGATAAATACTGCAACCATTTTTGAATACGCAATAATCCTTAAAACAAGGAACTACTCAGTCTGCTAATTTGTGCTCCTTTTAAATATCTTGCATCGTGTTGTTGTTTTCTTGTAAGATACTTACAATCCTAAAGACTTGCCTAGTTAGTATTTCAAAGCGGTGCAGAAACTTTTTTGTGCAGCTCACAGTTTCCTAGTTAGTGCCTAACTCCATAGGGAATTTTCCCCGAGGAGATTTCCACTCTTTTCCCTGTTGCTTTTTATTTTTCCCCTTCACCGAGTTGAATCACCTTTGAAGGCCTGGCTCTCGGACACTTTTGAGTCTAACCCAATTCTGGGCAAACTTTCGAAAGTTGCCAACTCAAGAATTGTTAATTCTCTTTAAGCTGGGACCTCCTCCCCCCTGGCCAGCACTGTCCCCTCATCATTTCGCCCATATTTCCCCATTGAAATTTCGTAACTCCCTCCGTCAGCGTTTCGTTCAACTTTTACGCAATTAGAGGCGACCACGCCGAAACACTTGACAGCTCCGCCTGCGGCGGCTTAGACTTGTTGGCTGGCTGTATGTGTGATTAACACCCTTTTTTGGGGCAAGATTGGGGACGACTGGCCTGGGAGCAGTGGTCCTTGTCCTCGGTCTTGTGCATCATTTTGCATGCGTTGCCTTTTCGGTCGGGGGCTTTATTAAAAAAGTTGCCAGCTGTTGCCAGCAGTTGACAAACTCATTGCCGTTTCAACTCTGCGCCACGCAGCGTTTTTAGCATTGGCAAAAACATGAAAATTTAAGATAGCTTTCTTTAGCTCATTTGCAAAGTGTTTATTATTAAAAATTGTAATTTTGTGCAAGCTTGCTTCAGCAGTCGTTGCCAACACTGGCTTTTTGCAGTACGCATAGTCTCACTCTGCTTTATGCATCCATTGTGCACACTGATAAATTGAAATCAAATGTCTATTCGCCATTGCCTATTACTTGTCATTTATTTTGTAGAGGTAGCAAAACTAGTGTATTTTTCTCCGTGCTCTACGTTGATTTCACTTGCTCTATGCGAAACGTGTTTGTTTGGTTGGATGGTTTCTGTGGTCCTTGTGATATGTCAAGCGACTAAAGCCGCAGGACAGAGTACGGGATGTGTGGGGGACAGAAAGGACATTGAGGCGAGTGGCTTTACTCCTGCCTTGCGGTCTCACTGTCCTCTACCGCCCCCCCCCATGCACCACCCCTTTTGTTAATTACAAATGCATTGCTCAGTTTGCTTAACGCTTCTATCTCATCATCATATTCTTTTCTCCTTGTGTATTTTTACAGGTTTCACATAGATAAGCGCTGTCAGCACCGATGTTCCTGGAAATGCTTGAGCATCGCCTTAATATTCGTATCCGTCGTCCTAACCGCCATGTTGGCATACTTTGCAGGTAAGAACTTCTGGCTAAAAACATCGGACATTGTGATAATGCCAACACAGTTAATGAAAAATACACAAGCCCATTCACACACACATGCGCGTACCTTTGCAAATATTCGTTCAGTGTATACATAAGTGCAAACTACAAACAAGCTATAACAAGGCAAATACATCAAGGTGTTTGCATTACATTAGCGTTAAATGGTGTTAACTTACACACACACGCACACATTGGCTAGCTAAGAAACACGAAGCATTGGCCTAGGCAAACACATACTTACATGAATATACACTGGGAAAACAATCAGGAATAAGGATGCTAAGGATTTTCTCTCTCTTGAGTAATTGAAGTTACATGTTGTGTAAACTTGTATTTGCCAATTCAATAGTTTTGCCATTCTAAACTCAATCTTAAAATAATAACGTGATCCATGTTATATTATAAATATTTAATTCGATGACCTCACGCATCATAGTTTTTTAAATGAATATTCAATAGCTTCCTTCATTTATTTAATTTCTCAGTGTATGTACATGATGTATGCGTATAAACTCAAAATGTTAATTGATAAATGTGCCAACTGCTGGCGGAGCATCCTGCACCATTGACAAGCAATTAGAATCCGCAGCCCTCAAAGTTGGATGGCATCGGAAAAACCGCCAGATGGATTGAAAATCCACGATTGCAGGGTATCCACACAATCTGGGGAAGCCCCAAAATTGAATTAACTATTGCTGCATTAGCGTGATAAAGATTTAATGTCCTAACTTTTGCATTACGTGAAATGGGCTGCTCTTCAAAACCTTGAAAACCGTATAATTGCATTTAGAGAATATTTTTGATAATTTTTCAAATAATGCTAAGCGAAAAATAAAACAGCTTCCACGTTTATAACCGAGAGCCAAACAAAGTTATGCTTTTCCTGCCAAATCTCACCTGAATTGGCAACAGATATTAAAATGGCTTTTTAATGTTTTCCCCTTTCTGCAAGTTGCACTTGCCGCATCCCCTCCTCGTTTTCGCTCGTCCTTTTATATTCCTGTGTTTCCTGATGTTTTTTGTTTTTATATTTTGCTTTTTGTTTACAACTTGATAATTAAACACGTTTTGTGCCGTCCCTGGCTGCTGCCTTCCAAATTATATTTACAGGTCAATTTAATTCTTTTTGCCCATTTCTCTTTTCTGCTCTGGCGAACCTTTGGCTTTCCTGTCCCTCCCCCGCCCCTGCCCCCCACTTGTTGGCCACCCAACAGCACAGCGCAGCCCCGCCTGTGTGTTGTTGTTGTTGTTTTGCCCCGGCAAAAACTTTGCACATTAAAATATGTAAATTTTAATTTGAAACAAAAGGGTTGACGGTTGGCAGGCAGTCAGCCCTCGCCAACCGTTGACGGCAATGGCGACGATGACGACGCCTCCTCAGCCACCTTAAAATCTCCCAGAAAAGCGCTCGGAAAACCTCGCTCGCCCACCCACATGCCGAACCCCCTTGAAAATTTTCCTGCGGTGGCCTTTGTACCCCGGCATTTTATCTAGTGAAACATTGGCACAACTTTTGGACACTTTTAGCGTCTGTGCGTCGACATCTGGGCTGCCAGGTTCTTCTCACTTTTCCGATGGGGGTTTTCTGTTTTCTGCAACTGCCAACTGCTTTTTTTTTATAAATCTTGCGCGAAGGCATTCAAATTTATGTGGCTGAACTTGAGCTAACAAAAAGAAGCCTTTTTTTGTCCGTTTGCCGAAATTTGTTTGGGGATTTTGTGAGTGATTTGCGTTGTTTTACCTGACGTTTTCGGGCAAACAAGTTGGCCGGAAACCACAAAATGATTGTTGTACAAAAATCGAACCAGAAATCAAAAGTCTGCTGTGCCTTTTATAGAATTTTGTTTTTCTCTTTTGGCTTTATGACATATTTGTCAATATATGTACGTTGCAAGTTTTAGCTGTAAAGCCTTGAATTTATTTTTTATTTTAGCAACATTATTTATTCTGGCTCCATCATCATCCATGACTTTTCCCGGATTGTTTTGCTAGTGCCATTCATTACCAATTCGAGCCACTCACTTACCCCCCACCCCCCCCATTTGCCTGCTCCTCTGCGCACTTTCTCCGTGCCCCCCCCCCCCACTCTCTCCCTCTTTTCGCACTTTCTCCCTGAGTTTAATTTATTATCTACGCAGAAGAAGCAGCAGCAGCAGCTGCTTGTGAGACGGGAGGCACTGATTTACAGTTGGCTAAAAGCTGCGGCTTGTTTGGTGTGTGCTATTTGGGGCTGGTGGGGGGAGGGGGGGTTTGGGTGGTTTTTGCTGCTGTTGTTGTTGTGGATGGGGCTGCGGTGTCACAGGATTGCAAGTGAACGAAAACAAATTTACAACAAACCACGGGAAAAATATATGTGATGCCACTTGGCACATGGCAGCCCCCCTCAATAGCCAAAAAAGGAAAAACAAAAAACGCCCCTCGCCTCTTTTGGCACAAAATGAATTTAAGTTGAAAAGTTGTGAACATTTTGTGGATTGGGGTGGCATTTTTGGGGCGCTGCTTCGTGTGGATTTCACTGATTTAATTGTTGGCAGCCAGCAGCAGCACATGCTTGAAATTTATCTTTTAAAAATAATGTATTAATTTTTGTGGCGCCCCTCGTTTCTTAACCGCCATAAACTCATTTGTGTAAAAAGCTTTTTGTGTGTGTGAGTGTTGCAAATGAATTTACGCTTTTGCGTCTGTGGTGTGCGTGTGTGTGTGTGTGTTTGGGTGCTTGGGGTCGTTTTATGGTTGAATAGTTTTAGAAACTGTGGGGTTAAGACACAGACTGGGGAACAGGTGAGCCCGAAATTAATTTACCTAATTTTTTTGATACGTACATTTCGGTTTGCAGTCTAACTTTTGCCCCACCCTCGCCCTCTCGCCCCTTCTGTGTTTGCTTAATAATTTTCTATTAATTAAGGGTTTCGCCATAAAATTAGCCAGCAATTGCGGCTTGAGGGGCGTCAGCTGTTTGGGTGTTTTAAAATATATATGTACATGTGCATGTGTATGCGGATACGTACGCATATATGTATGTGTGTGCAAGCACGCTCAGGAAACTGTATAATTATATACAAATATGTGAGGCCCATTGTCAGTTAATTAACAGGCAGACAGCTTGCGTTTGCTTGTTTGCCTTGTCAGCCTCACGAGTTGTTCTCTTTAATTTGATTTACATACTGTCTCCCTTGCCACGCCTCTCACCATCCACTTCCCAAACGCCCCAAATGCCTCAATGATGATGGAAGATTTCAGGCTTCTAGCAAATAAACGCAAAGGCTGGGCGAGTAAAGTGAATATTTTCCATTGCCTACTTATGAGGGCAGTGCAACGGAAGCTGTTGCGGCAATGGTAATTTGTATCAGATACGACCCACTAAATCAACCAATAATCCAGGGATTTCAAATAGTTTATAGTCCAGTTTATGGTGGCAAATAAATCCCGAGGTGCACTATAGTCTGCGTATTTGAATACCCAAGTAGTCACAAAGTAATATCTGATTTTAAGGCTGAGTATTTATGTTGTTATACTTTAAACTTGTCCATTTTTGGATGCGAAAAGTGATGTCGAGTGACAG